ATAAAATGAACGATAGCGGTTAAAATTTCTTAATCAGGTTAAAATCACTGTAAGTAATATATAATTTTAGATATTTCTAGACAGAACCTTGCAATATTTTTGAAAGTTTTGACTTTCTAAAATGTTATTTTTTCAGTCAAAGCTAAGSAAGTCTGCAAAACAAAGAATGGCATTTGATCACACAGTACAAAAGAAATACGTTTGAAGTGCTTTATTCTCAGTGYTTACWTTTACAACTGGAATTAGTAATTATTTTATTCTGAATCCAGTCGACAAAGCTACTAACTCGCGCAAACACTGTGTAATGATTAACAGAGCAGTCTGKCTTCCCAAAACTGACAACACCACGTAAAACCCACTGACCATTCTCCCAGCATGCCAATGGCCCCCCACTATCTCCTTGACAACCTCCTTTTCCTTGTCCTCCGGCACATACCATTGTATTATCAATTGACGTTTTGGGGAACATATCGTCACACTTTTGGTGAGGGGCAATCGTTAGATCTGCTTCTTGTAGAACTTTTGCCGTTCGGTAACTATTTCCGTTCTTGTAACCCCAACCTAAACAAATAGAACCAAGGTTTGAAAAGGCTTCTGTTAACTATTTTAAAATAAATAAGTTTGAATAAGACAATAAAAATATTTTTCTGACATTTTTCGACTATTTTCGCTTTATTCGATTCGACCGTATCCTATCGTATTATGCAAATAAATTGTTTACATTTCGGCTCATTAGCATTCATTAGCATATCATTATCGTAAACATATAACGTTTTAAGAAAGCTATCAGTAAATCAGCACTGAATATYAAAACAACATTAAGCTTTCCTCGCAATTTTTTTTATGGAATAATTTTCAATATGGAATAATTCTTGCGGTTTTTTAAAAAAATTCCAATTTTTAGAGAGATTATATGAGCAAATTAGCGGTTTTACCACTCAGCATCTTTGAACGCTAATATCTCATAAACTATTGCATGTAAAGACCTCAAACTTTCGTAGTTTATATTTCTTAATAAGCCTTTTTACGTTATGAACTCATTTTACAGCTTTTTTTAAAATTGAACTTTATATGCTAATTAGCAAAATTTTGTAAACAAAGATCCGCCTATAATAAAAACACAGTATAGTAGCCAATCAGAACGCTGGATTTGTGATAGCCGATAGCCCATTTACTCACTTGTGATACTGATATAGCTATCTCCTGTGTCAATCCTGCGACTATAAGCTGCTATCTCATACCTGTTAAGAAACACTTTGTTCCAACACTGACCCTGTCATCTTGTCGAGGAAGAGGAATTGTCGATACNGTGTAGCGATATTTTTTTTGTAAGTCGGATGAGTGCAACATCTGCTCTTAGAAGCCCGCGATTCCAGCTTTTATGAATAAATATCTGCTTGGGGTAGTGAACTTCTTGGTGTTGTGTTTTCTGATCTCTATCATGCGCACCTTAGTACATAACAATAGAGTCAATATTGCTTGCAAGAATAAAATACCGACATTAATTTTCAAAATCCCCGCTACACATGAACACCCTATTCTTCGTTTGCAAGTTACGTCATAGATAAAAAAAAAATAATAATTTAAACCTAATTTCCCATGAAATCGATTTTACTCTAAAATATAGTTTAGAAAACTATGTTTCGAGATAATTTTTGAACTTATATTCGAATAATTTGATGCACAACGTGTTTTATTTGGTAGCCAAAGTCATGTCACACAACGCCAGGTCACGCGCATGAAAAGCCGTGGAAATCAGCTAAAATTCTTCTAAATCGTAGTTTTTTGTTTTAATATAGATTTAGAATTGCTAAATGTAATGAAAATAAGGTATATTTGCTACTTTGTACCCGAAATTATGTTCATAACAGTTGGCCGCCATTTCTGGTGGCCCTACAGAGGTCCACCAGTACGGTGCCGCCATACATTTCTTTGTAAAGATCGGCATATAAAATTGCTGATAAACTTGCAACAAAAGCTCGGTTCGACTCAAAATTTCACAGAATTAGAGACTTTTAATACGTCTATTATGTGAAAGTACCGAAATCTTATCTTTGATTTTAAAACTCTCTAAAAATGTTGGTGCCGTGAAAGCGTATAAACATAATCTCGCCATACATTTCCTTCTAAAAAATTAGCGTATAAAATTGCTTATATCTTGGCAAATAAAACTCTTTTCGGCGAAAAAATTCTCAGGGATACAGAGTTTTACTCGTTCTTTCACATGGATCACTTGAATTTTGTTTATGACTAATTTTACGGAAAATTTATATTTCCATGACGTACGTGCAAACGAAGAATGACTGACTTACCAACTACTATTGGAAACGATTTCGATTTTCTATGTTCAACGCAATGAGCTGCCGTTAACACCCATTCAGGTGCAATGATGGAACCACCACAAAAGTGTGAGCTACTTGAGCTACTCCTTTGGAGGGAAACTTGCCATGGCCATTCGTGAAGGTCAGCATTCTCTCCATTAATGACCCGCTTGCTTGATGAGGCTGGTATTTTACGCTCTATACAAAGTAAACAGCATTAATCCGACGGAGAACGCTAGTAGCGCTGTGTTGCGTTGAACCACGAGAATTTGCCTTGATAACCCGACAGCAACACTGTTCATTGCCCGACCACTGTTGACGATTTTGGACGATAAAAAAGCAAGTGAGAGAATCCTGTTAATTATAACACAAAAATTGCAACAGCGTTGTTCAGGACTTTGACCTTATTTTCTCAGGTGATAAAATTCTATGTTACTTGTAAAAGCGAAGAAATAATGATGAGCAAGCGCTCAAGAAAATATAGTTTTGAGACAAGTTTTCGACTAAGAACAGCATTGTGAAAGTACAGAGAGTAGAGCTACATAAAAATGTTCCGCGATTTTTTTTAGTTACGTTAAGTTACCCTCCGCTGGAAGAGACTCTCCCAGAAGGAACACCATAGTCAGGATAAGAAAGATCTTCATGATTGCATTCATGTTTGCAGTGTTATCACAACCAAACTGAGTCAGTAATGAAGGTACTGTACGGCGATATGATGAGCCCAAGGAATAATATACCACAATACGATATGATTGCAATATCTATATTGTCGATTTTTGCCTTTGTCTCATTAGCGTTAAACAC